TTTTTTCTGGAATTGGGTGAAAATATTGTTTTTGGAGCACAAACAGGTTATGGAACAGGGATTGGGAATGTGCAATGCTCAGAGAGGAGGACATGGAATTTCCAGCCTCTACACCAATTTTTTGGGGAATTTTCCAGGTATTTTTGCTTTAAACCTCTCCAATCCCAATCAAAACCACTTTGGGGTCTCTCCCTAATTCCCAAATGCAGGAAATCCTAAATCCTCCTTCTTCCAAACAGAGATTTCTCCGTCCCCATGTCACCTTTTTGTGGCTGTGATGGAATTTGAGGAGGGAATTTAAAAACCAGCACAGAATCCACAGAATTAAAGCTTTTTCACTTCAAACTTGCACGCACGAGATGCAGCTTTAGGGGAGGCTGGGAAGGTCAGGAGTTGTGAATTTAAACTTGATAAAAATATTCCAGGGAATCATGGAATGTTTGGGTTGGAAGAGACCTTAAATCCCATCCATTTCCAACCCCCTGCCGTGGGCAGGGGCACCGTTCCCTATCCCACTTTTTTTTCCCAATGAATAAAAAAAATATAAATTATATAAATGTATATAATTTATATTAAATGTAAGACGAAATAAATTTCCATTCCAGGAGGGAATGCAGCTGTTTGGAAGGAGCATGGCATCTCCAGGAGGTCTCCATAAATCCAGAGCCCAGCAGAGCAGGAGGTGAGATGAGACCCCACATGTAAAGCTGGGAGGGGGGGTTCATGCACTCCAGCATTCCCAGATCCATATTTTTTGGGGGAACAGAGCTCGGGACATGCTCCAAGAGTGTTGAGAAGGGAAAAAAATCCCACCAGGATCAACCTTCTGAAGGCACAACCTCCCAAAATCCAACCTGCTGGGGCTTGGCTCTTCCGAATTATCCCAATTTGTAAAAGGTTTTCTGGGTTAATCAGATCTGGCAGGGGCTGAGGGCTTTGGATGCATCCCATAATCCCAGTTTTTGGCTTTGAGGGACCTAAAGGAAGCGTTGAAGTGACAGGGATATGGTGCTGGTGATCTCTGGCACTGGATCATCCCAAGGGTCTGGAGTCAACTGAGCACATCCCAAACTTTTCCAGACTCATGGAACACAAACATCCATCCACTGGTTTTCCAGGCTTCCATCTCCTGGAAAGAGCCACAGGGAATCTGAAATGTTCCCAAAAACACCAGGCTTGGATCAGGAATCCAGGACAACAACTTTATCCCAAAGGGGAATTTTCTGGGGTTACCAGTGCCCAGAGATGGAGCTGCTGATGGAACAGAACAGGACAGCCTGGAGCACTTCCAGCCATTAAAATCGGGATTTGTTTGGTTTTCCCTGTTTTTTGTTTTTTTTTTTAGCCAGAGCAGGCTGGCAGCTGCTCCTCCAGGAGAACCTGGTGATTGTGCCAACAGGAAGCAGAGTTTGGAGTCACTCAGGTCCTGCTATCGTGGATTTGGGGATAATTATCCTCCCAGGAATTTTCCAAGCCCTTCCCCAGGAGAGCTGGGAGCTCTCCCAGGTTCCAGAGGCACATCAGAGGTGCTGGAAGTCGACCTGGACCTTTGGAAAGCCCTTCCACACATTGGGAATTTAGAGCTTTTCCATCCCGGTACCTTTGGGGTCACCTCCCATCCCGTGGGACCTGGTGGGACCCATGGAATGTTCCGGAAGCAGCGCACATTCCATGAAGAAAAAAAAAACCTCGGGATGTCTTGGGATGGTTGGGAAGGAGCCAGGTGGATAAAGCTCCGGATCAGGATGGAAAGGGATTGCAGCTGGAGCCCTGATCCCACA